AATGTTCAACTGAGAAAATATAATATATTTGGTCCTATATGTGGACAAATCAATCATATGGTAGTCAATGTTCAGCTGAGATAATATAATACAATACATCCAGTGTAATGTGGATAGATCAATCTTATGATACCTATTGTTCAGCTGAGAAAATATAGTACAATTCTTATATTCGTTGTTCCCTCTTCAAAAGAGGAGATGCGAAAGATTTTCTTCATAAGGTCAAAATACAGGGTGTTCAAAAAAACACAACCCAAAGAAATCGCTATATCTTGAAAAATACTAATCCAATTATGTTCATATTTTCAGGAAAGAAATTCTGATAAAACTAGTGTGAATGTTGACAAAATGACAGTTTCTCAGCTTCCGATCTTCGAGCAGCCCTCAAGCATAGTTATATGATCCAATCTATTCAATAATAATTAAGGGAATCGGAGATTACAAGTCACATTATATTTTTTTTGATCTTCGATGGCGTCTGAGCAATTTCTGAGAAATCAGTGACATCACTGGAATTGGACGGCATTTTAAACTACAGATTTCTTCGGATTTGGGAATTATAGTAAAAAAAGCCTTATTTTATATCTTAATTACATACATACCTATTGTTTGTGCAAATGCAACTCTACATAAATGTTTAATAGAGTCGCAGTGCGGCTTTGAAAATAGCACCCCTGTGTAATCCAATGGGAAATAACCCGGATGTAGATGAAGTTGTACCATACATGAGAGCTCCTAACTAAACTTTATCGAGTATTGGGGTATTGGTCCTGTATAATTTGGACAGATCAATGTTATGATAGTCATATGATATGATAAATATTACTGCTGGACAAGGTAAGCAAAATGACCCTCTAAGTTCAGCTTTGATGGGGATTTCACAAACATTATTAGGTGTAAAACAATTTACTTTTAACCATTTTCCACCAAATATGAAGAAATCGCTAGTCTTCAAGCCATATCATATTCAAGACAAATGGATGGACAGACTGATAGATAGATGTACTTTTGGATGGAGTTCGATTAGCACATAGACTGACAAACGGACTGAGGGCTTAACTACATCCATATTTAACTTATTGAACTTCATTCACGGCGCTGTATCCAAACTGTGTGCATACTATGCACGCAATTTAAAACACTGACAAACTGCGTGCATATTTAAAAATGGCAGACGGGGGAGTACACTTAAAATGAGGTTTGAAAACACTTGTATGATGCAATATTTATATGCGCACAGTTTGTCAATGTTTCAAACTGCGTGCATAGTATGCACACAGTTTGGTACCGCGCCGTGCCATTCACAAGGATAAAAATATGCAAACTTAAAATTTGAATATGGCTAGATGATGGGTATGCATCTTTTAAGTAGAACCATATAAACAAAGAATGTATTAAGTATGAAATCTTAAAATAGAAATCACAAAACAACACAAAACTAATTATGAAAACACAAAAAGAATCATGTTGATAAATGAAATAGTACCATGGGTATTTGGCTCACATGGTGCAAGTCCTTTCAAAAGTCTGCTTTTGAACCTTAAAACCCATGTTAAGATTGAAGAATGCATAATCTTTACAAATATATATAATTTATAATGTACAATTTCAAGCAAATTGATGGAACATTTTTACTTATAACCAATAAGGGTCAAAATTTTATATTTTGACAAGAAAATTAGTGAAAATTTTGAGATTTTATTAGGTATTTTGCCACAACGTTTAGACAATATTGTTAACCTATACACTAAGGTAGCTATCTGTACAATTTTAAACCAGACAACAGCAATGCCAAAGCGTAGCAAGTCCCATCAAACAGCCATGTTTGTGTCATTAAACTGAGTGTACCATGCTTATAGTATTCACATACCAAATATGATCAAAATCACTCCACTACTTTTCAAATTATAGTAAAATACGTTAAAATGGCCACCTGGACAAAGGGACGTACGGACATATTTGACGAATCCATTTGAAGTAGTATGGATATTTCAAATGAGTCAACAATGTGTTGACAGACAGACAGACAGACAGACAGACAGACAGACAGACAGACAGACAGACAGACAGACAGACAGACAGACAGACAGACAGACAGACAGACAGACAGACAGACAGACAGACAGACAGACAGACAGACAGACAGACAGACAGACAGACAGACAGACAGACAGACAGACAGACAGACAGACAGACAGACAGACAGACAGACAGACAGACAGACAGACAGACAGACAGACAGACAGACAGACAGACAGACAGACAGACAGACAGACAGACAGACAGACAGACAGACAGACAGACAGACAGACAGACAGACAGACAGACAGACAGACAGACAGACAGACAGACAGACAGACAGACAGACAGACAGACAGACAGACAGACAGACAGACAGACAGACAGACAGACAGACAGACAGACAGACAGACAGACAGACAGACAGACAGACAGACAGACAGACAGACAGACAGACAGACAGACAGACAGACAGACAGACAGACAGACAGACAGACAGACAGACAGACAGACAGACAGACAGACAGACAGACAGACAGACAGACAGACAGACAGACAGACAGACAGACAGACAGACAGACAGACAGACAGACAGACAGACAGACAGACAGACAGACAGACAGACAGACAGACAGACAGACAGACAGACAGACAGACAGACAGACAGACAGACAGACAGACAGACAGACAGACAGACAGACAGACAGACAGACAGACAGACAGACAGACAGACAGACAGACAGACAGACAGACAGACAGACAGACAGACAGACAGACAGACAGACAGACAGACAGACAGACAGACAGACAGACAGACAGACAGACAGACAGACAGACAGACAGACAGACAGACAGACAGACAGACAGACAGACAGACAGACAGACAGACAGACAGACAGACAGACAGACAGACAGACAGACAGACAGACAGACAGACAGACAGACAGACAGACAGACAGACAGACAGACAGACAGACAGACAGACAGACAGACAGACAGACAGACAGACAAGTTGATGATTACAATAACTCATATAGCTCACCCATGTGAGCTAATAATAATGGTCAAAAATGAGTACATCGTATAGTAAAGAAGCACAAAGAGAAAAAGGCATACACTCTCTAGTTGTACAGTAAAACCTGTGTGATGGAACACATGCTAAAGTTTTTGAACCATATAGTTTTCTGTTGGCCTACATGTTCAAGGTCTCCTCTACAATGACTCATCAATTCCTCAGAGATTGGATCATATTATGACTGAGGCTCAGATAATTGGGCTATTATAACAATATGATATATCACTCATTGATAATTATCCCAATATTTTTCTTGAATCATACTTATATGCCGGTAATCATTAGCTTAAAAAAAATCAAAATAAAAATAAATAAAAAGTAGAATGTGATTAATGTCATCACCAAATTATTGCTAATAAGTATAAAAAAGTAACAATTTGTTCCATACAAAGGTTTTACTGTATTATCTACTATGGGATATGACAGTGAACATAAGCAATGTGACTGAGAATTCAAGTCTACTAAAATTGTAACGATGAAAGGGAATAACATTCTAATAACTTTGAAATGGCAAAGAAATTAATTTCAGGGAAGCAGTATCAATGTAACAGACATGACATTTTCCCTATTTTACATTTCTGTAACTTGGTTATCAATGATACTGGGAATTTATCATGTCTATTGTTTGTAGGGGTTATGCAACAACTAGCTTGTTCTCCAGGGCACCATCCCCTTCCATTTAGCTAAACATTAAAGTACAAAAATTCAAAAATATAAAGCATAAATTGAGCTTGGCACTGTAATAGTGTAATAGCCTAACTTGGTTTTATCTAGATGTTCAGATTTTGAGATTTTGAGATTTACCCATTGATTTGTTTTATCAAAATAGTGTTGCATTGACGAGGGTATTAACTTATAGCTCAACATTCTGTTAAATGGCCAGAAAACAATCTGAATGGAGACCATTGAAAAATGGAACTGGGAGAGTAGAAAATAAAGGCAAAAACACTTGCTAAAACACATATTAAATCATAGCTTAAACAAATTGTAGAAATTAGGCTATTACAGATATGCTGAATGGTGATTGTACAGGGTGACCCAAGAAAATGAGTAAACTTTTATGTTCAAGTGATCTTTGAACAATACTGGGCCAAATGTATTTTCAGAGAGATGGACATAAGTTTTGCAGGCAGGCAAATGGATGGATGGATGAACAAACAGATGCGTTCACTATATCCCCAAACTTTAAACAATGTTATACATTATCTATTTAGTTATATATCATACAGAAAAATACTGTAAGTATTTATCACATATTACTACAAGAGCTTGAATATGAAGGTGAACTCATTTTTGGGGGCTATCCTGATAGTTTCTTTCCATGGTTACCTGTCCTTTCTTTCAATCATGTAAGCTAGGGCAGTGGCAGGAACGCCACATAGTAAAACATTACCAAAGAAATAAAACCCTACAACTTTTCTGCAATATAAATAACACCAAGAAGGTAAATTAAGATAAAATTGTAGGCAACAATCTGTAAACATTCCTGTATAAAACAATATTGTACTACTTTTGACATCCTTTCAAAAGGTATACTGGCTTAATTGTACACCTCAAACTTATCCAAGATTTCTATTAAAACTTTAGGAGAATACAAACAATGAAACTGAGGTTAACAGATCAGGCAAATCTATAGCCAATCATTTTGCAATGTTTAACTGAGATTCAATAAGTGACGTTAATCAACCTATTTATTCCATCTGCATATGTAGTCTTAATCTGACTCAAAAGGAAGATTTTGAAATACATTGCAAAATAAATGAAAATGACCTAATTTTGAAGTCTAGATTTCGAAATTTCGTTTTTAAAAAGGTCATACTTTTGACCTTGATAGTTGATAAAATTAAATATCTGCCTCTAATAATTGTTTCTACAATAATTATTTGATAAAAATGTAATGACATACCTCCAAGCACAGAATGCCCACATGAATAGAAACGCATTGGTGCCAAGGAATGCCGTTGACTGAAGAATTTCCGGTAGCAACCGCTTTAAGTAGTATTCTTTCTTGCGCCGCTTAAATAGAGCAGTCAACTGAAAATATAATGAATAACCATTAAAAAAAATACAATTGTAAATAACTTGACCAAAATGGATGTTATGTTAAGAATATATATACATTTAGCTTTATAAGCACCTAAATACTTAGATGACATAAAGAGTAGGGGTCTAACAATTTCAAAATCATCGGTTCATTTGGTTTTTGACTCATTCTGTTCGGTTATTCTCTGTGCTTATCTCACTATTATATTCTGCTATGATATAGAATATAAAACAAAAGTAGCCTGTATTTTAGTATATTGTTTTTTTCAGCTATGGGGTAGCCATCCATTGTGGGATACTCCAAGTAGGCCCAGCCATGGGCCTTGTATGATATGGGTGCATCCATAATGCTCATACCATCAATGTCAGACATTTTTTCTTGATCTAGGATGTTATTTAAGTGCATTTACGTATGGTAATTTTTCCCCAATTAACATTCGGTTATAAAATAATATGGTTTTGTCGAAAGCTGTGAAATTTTGAATGTGTGTTAAATAGATACGTTTTTTCAATTTCTCATATTTAAATGTTTCCAAAATCATTATATTTCTGGAATATTTTAACAGTTGGCAAGTTGAATTATCAAACTTTTCACATATCATTTAAGATATCACATGAAAACAATAAATAAACTCAAGTCAAATAAGCTTATCTAGATACAGAACATGTTTCAATATATTATACTAAAAAGTGTCAATATTCAGACTTTGATCAAGTAAATCAAATTAACTTGTACATCTGCAAGGTCAAAAACTAACTCCATCCAAATAAACAATGTACGAGATCAAATTCAGTTTTGTTGCTGTGTTATAAAACTGATTTTCTTCCAGACTTTCACCAAAAAAAACATAAAACATTGAAATGAAAACAATAAGACTGTAATTCCCCAATAAATGCAAGGAAATGTTACCATTGAAGTGTCTTAGAGGGATTTCCAACTACATTAACAGAAAAGAGTTGTCACAAAGTAGTTTGTCTATTAAATATACATGTAGTAGAACAGTTTTTCCAATTGATTAGAATTCAACCAAAACTGTTGTGAGATGGACATCGTTTAAAATTTTTTCTGCAATCTTGGATGACCTCAATGGATCATTGATCAGTAGTTTATAATATTTGTAAAACAAATTCAATATTCACACAAATTAAAAGTCAATCTTAAGTCATGCCCTGTCAATCAACAACTGGCATCATTTCTTAAAAATAGAATTTAAAACTAATTTCACAGGTATATCTGAACCGTTTTCCAAAGTTCCAAGGCAGTCTCTATATTGAACTATGTTCTGAAACCACAAACAACCTCAAATAGATTTCAGTACATACATACATTTACTGATTTAGTTCAAATATCAAAGCATTACGTCAACTTTTCATTTCGTTACTTCGCTTGATACTGACCAGAGCTCACTTCAAATGGTGAATTGTCAAATAAAATAGGACGTCCAATATACGGCTGCTATGGTAGCTAACATTATCATAAATTGGCCATTTCATAAACAACCGATTTTCATTTTCAGGGGGAAGGTTATATAATAGAGCCCTTGTATTGATCTTTTTTATTACATAAGTTCAATCTAGATCTTCCGACAACCATTTCAAACAAATTGCTATATCAGCAAATACTTTTTACATGGGGTTAAAGACAATGAATTTGGCTATCTTTATCATATTTTCACAAAAACTATAACGTCACAATACCGCTCCCCATACAAAAGTGATTTCAAAACAAGGTTTTTCTTTGGGGAGGTTATCTTTTGCTTAGAAATTTAATTTTTTCATCATGATACTCATTTAAGCATTGTGCATAATATGCAATTTCGAGAAAATTTGTTTCATAAATTGTCACAGACTTTATCTTCTTTAAAAGTATTTCTATCAGCCTCTAGTAATTTCCCAGTGACAATAATATGTGTTGTTTGTCATAGGTAAGAATTTATGTTACAGCAAATGACGTCATATTCTTGATATACATCAACCTTGAAATGTGGTGTTGTATAAATGTTACAAATAGTTTGTATAATGATATTTAATGAACTTACAATATTATTTTTTCGTATATTGTCCTCTAACTGAAGATATTCATAAAATATACAGACGCTTCTTGTAGCAAAGGCATTGATTAGGTCAAGCAATTTTGGCAATTCTAATTCTCACGATAAACGAAATTTAACCAGTGACATCAGTCTATTTGTAAACAAATAACATGTGGAGCGGGCGGAGCAACATTACGGAAGCGTATTGATAAATTTGCACAGAATATCGCTGAGATTTCCAAACGAAGGGTATCAATCATAACAGACCGAATATTATATTCGGTCTGTTGGATACATACTAGTGTTGTCGCGATGTGCCATAATCGTACATCGATGCATCGGTAATTTTCAGTAGTAAACATCAATGCACATCGCGATGTACATCAAGAAAAAGTCCAAGAAAAGTGCACTGAAATACCGAACGCTATTGTGCTAGAATACTGAACAGAACAAATCAATAAGAGTATGCTGGTACATCCGGGAACTTCTAGTAACGATGAAATGAAAGTAAAGTGAATTTTTTTAGATTAATGGTTCATTTCAACTACCTAAAACAGTTTTAAGGTTCAGCTGGAAAGTAACATTTTGGGAAAAAATTGCTATACCTGCACATGTTATTTTCTGGTACAAAATTAAGTATGAAGTCATGTGTGTATTTCCTTGCTTTTTTCAGGAAAGGATCATTACACTGTCTATTTTTAGTAAACCTGGAAACAGGTCAATGGTAGTTCCTGTGTTGTCTGAAAACTTTGAAAGAAAATTTGGAAAAATAGAAAGTGTGAAATATCGGAATTTCCTGGAGTTCCCATTGAACTCCTACCAGATATTCTAAAAGAAGACAATGTAATGATACTTTCCTGAAAAAAGCAAGGAAATTGACACATGCCTTCATACTTTATTTTGTACCAGAAAATAACATGTGCAGGTATAGCAATTTTTTACCAAAATGTTACTTTCCAGCTGTACCTTAAAGCGAAAGAATATAAGAAAACATTGGAAAATGAAATAAGACATGAGAAAGGTAAGCGATTTGCGTCAAAATAAGATAAGAAAGGGTGATATTTAGCAAATTAAATTTTTTTTAAAAACATCGATGTTTTGTTTCAGACATCGATGAATCGCCAGAATCAGCTTTGGCGATGTATATCGCGATGTACAGTGCTGATATATAATAATATAGGGTGCGTTTTCAAACTAAAAAAGTGTTCCTACCAAAATGAATTTGCCTATGCATACCCCTGAAACTCTTATCTGATAGATAGAATGCACAAATAAAACAAAAGTTTTGCAATTATAGGTAAAAAGTTCTCTTGAAATTTCGAAGTGATTTTACCTGTTAATTCTGTCCATGGTCGGCCATTTTTGCGGAAGTTACACTGAAACGCAAACTCCATGAAACGAAACGAAATCACTAGAAAAAACATGGCACACATTGTGCGCATGTGCAGCAAAGTTTAGACCAATTAGATTATTTGATTATTTTGCGCACGTGAATTATTTGCTTCCGAGCACTTACAAGCTTACCACAATAAACAAACCTGGCAGAGACTACCCTTAGCCTACTTCATTTTGGCGAAATTTCAGCTCAAACTCGTGAAAAATGCATTATGCATACGCTGGTGTGAAGCCTTGGAGACACTCATTTTGGTAAATATGATTTATGGGGTATACTTTTCTGCAGTTTGTGGGAGTTTGGGACATTAAATGTTAAAATTCAAGAAAATATGCCAATTAAACGACTGATCAATTAATATATACCAGCACTGTATATCCCATTGAGACCGACATTCATATTTGGAATTATGACATTTGATCGAAAAATGCAAATTAATTTGACTTTTGGTAGTGAAATGGGCTGTAGATTTTCATAATCTATGCCATAAAATGATAAATGATAGAGATAATAATTCAGCTGAGATTGATTCCAGAACTTTTCAAAACAAATATTGATGCATGATAATCTCTTGAAATGCATGTACTTACAACGTATAATGGTGCATATATTTTGAAAGCCTCTAGAAAGCCATGCACTGCGACCTCTTTTACTGCACTACTGCAATATGGGGTCCAGGTATGGCCCAATTCGTAACAAGAATTGTACAAAATTTTGCTTTGGGCCGCCATACTGGATTTTGCTAAAAGTAAACCAATCAGATCATTTGAGGTATTCATTCTTTCATGACACGCCAAATATATGTTGTAGTGCGAAAGTTTAATAAGCGCGGGAAGTTTAAATATGTGACAGAAAGTACAGTTGTTGTAGGCTTATAAATATAATTTAGGCTATTATTATATTGTTTTCAAGGTTTATATTCTATTCCTAATAGACAATAAACCATTGGGCTAGTATTAGAAATGTTGAAAATATGATCAATATTTTGAAAACTGGCAAATAAGCTTATATTTTTACATGGACCTCTATCCTCTTCTCTAAAAAAGATTTGAGAAGTTCTAGAATATCTACGAGATTGTCTGCAAATGAAATGATAATATTGGATTGATACCGGATAAACATACGCTGACAGTAGGGTATGATATACCACACCCTAAGAGACCAGACAGTAAATACTATTCTAATATATGGTTTATTAATAAGTGGCACAATTTAAACATCATCGGAATCAGCGTTTGTTAATATTGCTACTTCACTGTGACATTACTCGAGCAGGCCAAACAGTAAACAAAATCCACAATCATCTTAGCAGTGTTTCTTTTAGAAATGAATGCTTATAGCAAAATGATTTTTTATAATGAACAATATGTATATTGATTCTTTAAGAGCGCTCTAGTTAGTAAAGATATAATTTAATGAATATTACATATGATCTGTAAACGAAACGACGCTTTAAGCAGCCTCACTGTAAATTCTAACACGTTTATGGTATCGTTATATCGAACCAGTCAAATCTACTGATTTTTTTCAGTCTGATCAACAAAACATTTTGACACAAAAATACTATCGATTGTTCTATTGAAAGTAAAACATATGTTACACTTGTGTCTCGTATTCAAACAACATTGAAGTATATTTGAAGAGCAATAATATCTACATGTCAACAACATTGATTTTGTTCAAGTATTTGTCACAGTTTTGACTTTTGCCAGTGTTTACTGGTGTATAAAAGTGGACATTCTCTAGATACAAGTCATATAGTTTTACATATAACGGATGTTTTCAAGGGGGTCTGAAATGAAAATGTTGTAGTATTCAAAACATGAGGATGTTTGCTCTTTCTTACCCTAGGTGACATTATTTACCTGTTTATAGAAGAGTATCAGATCTCACATGCCATAAACCTGTCCGATCTAAAAAAATATTGCCCTCCCGAGGTTTGATATTTTCGAGAACCATTGTTCATATAATCCGGAGACAAAATGGTTGCCATCAGTATTATATTATATGTTTGCATGAATCAGCTTTACATATGGAAGTCCATGCATAAACAGAACAAGTTAAAGACAAAAACGTAAATGAATATTACGTGAAACTGAATTACAAAAAATACTATTAACAAGAATATAGTATTATTAGGGTAACAGGCATGTAGTCGACACAACTCATAACACCATTAGAAGATAAGCATACAAGTTCGAGGAACAGAGTACGTCTGTAGAAGAAGCATTAACGTTTTGTTTAACTGTTGTTCTTTGGCAGAGTTTCTAATTTGAAAAACCCACTCGTGTATTCTTTACATTCCTATAAAGTATACATTTACTAAGAACTTATTGGAAAATGTATGAAATTATATCCCTCTTAACGATCTGGATGGTGTAGTTTTTGCCGACAAGCGCCAACGCCATAACGCTAGCAGCAAGAAGATAATGTTTATTGCAAGATAAAACGGAAAATAGAAATAGGCAGTAAATCATATATCGACAAAACGCTCATCTTAACCAAGTCAAGCTCTTCAGTATCGAGTGATATCTATTTCTGCATACAATGTTTACTTATATGAACAACGTTCGTCTCATTGGCAACGCCCAAGTATTAATTGATAAGAGCATCGAGTTATTTGAAACAAAGGCACTAAAGGTAAACAGCTTAGAAACACAGTCATGTGTTATTTTAGCAGATCCAATGATAATGTTCACTGGATTGATTTCCTAGAATTGATCAATAAATGTCCGATGGCAAGTGTAATATAAGCGTTTTGTCAATGTTGCCTAGTTGCTATTGTTGGCAAAGATACGATAACTTCTAGACAGTTTACTTGTCAAACATTATTGTAGAAGATCAAACTATAACATGAAAATATGAAACTAAACGACGAGGTTACAAGTATTATGCTAATAATGAACCATGCAGACTTTATTACTGATACAAACCAGTGATATTTTCAGTTGATTTGCATCTTTGATTTATCTTCGTAATATCTATTTGGAATTTGTGATATCACGGACTTTTAAGTCCATGTTGACATCGGTAAACTGGTAAGCTACGTACATATTCCCAACTATACATTTATGGTTTCTATAGCAACTAACCAAACGGAAATGTATACACGGAAATTGTTAAGGGTACAATGAAGTTGTAATTTAAAGGAGCCAGTATGTAAACATCCCTGTTAAAGATGGGGATCAATAACGCTGTATTTTCAGGTAGAAACACAAACAAACGTTCTTTGAGTCCACCTAGGATGTCGGTTAGCTCAAAGTTGATAGTTCGTGCTTATATGAATGGTACCTAGTTGTTATTTTCCGCCATCAGATATGTACTTAGTAAATCTTTTTGTAAAATTAGCTATAGTAGTACTAAGCACTGATACTTGGATTTTAAAAATACGTCGGTAGTTGCACTTTAAGCTCATTTTACACATGATGGTTGACGTCCAGTAGTCTTGCGTCGAGTCTCTGGATCCCCGCCCTTTTTTACTTAACCTCTTTTGGAGGTGTATGGTTGTCACAATGGCTTGAAGCAAGATTGAAGAAATCACATGGAAATATAATTAATAAATTGGAGTGTCGTCTCAATGGTAAATATTTCAGCTATTCAAGAATTACAATTACAGCATTTCTAGGAGCGAAAAACTTCTATATTATTTTTCGTGTAAGGATGATCCCTCCAGGACTTGAACCTGGGGCTTTCCCTGTTACGGGAATGTGTTACTTTACACCAAGGGATGGTACCATACACAAATTAATAAACAAATTAATTATTTTCTTATTTGACAAAATTAATCCCTCTTTTGAATTCTAAAAATCCACATTAGATGTGGATTGGATTTACATTTTCCTTGTAACATGTGTAAGCCACATAGGTGGCAGTTATACAGGAAGGTAAAATTTTACACTGTACTGGACTACGACGACCATCACAGTCAGCTACGATATTTGCCTTGAACACCAGACTTTTATGAAAATCACATTTAAAAGCCAGACACAGAACTCCTCAGCAAATAATTTATTGGAGTTAATAATATCCTGTAACTAATTATAAATCAAACGTCACTGGGTAAAACGAGAAAGAGTGTTTGACTTCCACTGTCGTAATTTTCACCTAGGAACATCAATCATACTTTGCCGACTTTTATTACAAATCATTATTAATAAAGAAAGTCTAATTTGTCAACGTAAAGTAAATCTAAAATGATAGCACGCCATATTTATTTTACTGAAAATGGTAGAATGAATTAAATCTGGTAACTTGTTAGAAATGGTACATCCGGGTGTTACTACTCTCAGTGTAAGGGGGTACCCCTAAGAAACGGCTCGGTTTGAAGCGATCTCTCACTTGCAGCAGTCTGGCAGTTGTATTGTTGTATGAGTTAATGTTACCGCTTACCAGTGACAGAATGAGTCACCGAACACTTTATGAATTTTACAGGACTAAGTGATGAAGTTACCAGTGACTATATACAATTGATTAACTAAAAAGAGACACAAGCAGCGTGTAAGTTACCGGAGGCCACTATGAGTTACCAATGACTGTTTGTGTACCAATGACTTATGGGATACAAGCAGAGTGTGAATTATAGAGTTACCAATGACTGTATATATATACCAGATATACCAGAAGTATCTGATGCGATACCAGTGAATAATAATGAATACGATTGCGTTCTTCAAATGTTCCACTTTTGACGCTTACAGTGTATGCAGATTTGGTGAATTATAATGCCAATATGTAAATTATATAAGCTGTCAATCAAAGAATGTATACGCGAGCGTTCAATAAATTTTCTCAGTCACAAATATTAATATAGGGCTCCTTATGTAATGTATAAGTGTTCCATGGTTAAAATAACAGAAACTTTCTTAGAAGTCTCAATGTTATTGATGCACATTTCTGTGCCATATATTTCTTTAGTCTCAATGCTGCGTTTAACTCTTTCATCAGTAATAAGCTTAATAGAAGTTCAATTAAGATTTCTTTGAAGCATATGTTGGTTAATTCCTCATATAAACTAAATTATGTAATTATTCTTGGCTGGAGAATAAGGGGTTTGATCAGCTTTCGTCTCAGGAAATGTCCAAAGTAAAAGTGTCAATATTGGCACAGGGGGTGAACGCCGATTGACAAAATTACACCTGGTACTGTGGTAGAAAATGTCGCAAGGAAACTGTTCCAATAGAAACAAGAGAGCGCATAAAGAATGTCAACTGAGTTATTTGATGAGATCGCACGGTGGCCCCTCGATGGCATTAACTGATTAAATACACAACAGTATATATCCCATTGTCTCCTAAAGGAGAAAGCGTTCTGGTACATCTACATTAGACGCCGCTATTAAAGTATTTACCAGTTTGCACAGTTCAATTTGAGCCATGTTGCAGAGGGTTCATACACACGAGAACAATAGTAAATGATAACAAACCCCTAAACAAAGTGACCAAAGTCCGCTAGATAAACAGATACCCGGACTTTCTGCCTCCTCTACAGGCGTCAATGATACAATAGTCACAAGTGTCAGGCCAAAACTAGGGCCAATCAAGAGGACTACAAGATCGATTTTGTTGGACTTTGGAAAGTTTTAACACAATATTGTAGGGTTTGTAATGAGATTAAATGACAAGAGGCTTAATCTGGTCGGTCCTTACTGCTTGACCATGTATCCATATAATTGGATATCTAAATGTTATCAATTACGTCAGTAAGATAAATACTATATATCAAGAGCTACTTGAACACATATCATGACCGACCAAAGTGGGAACAATCACCATATAGCATCTCTCGA